TGCCCCGTGCCCGGCGACCGGTCGCGCTCCCCTGCCAAGCGTCTGGTGAGCTGGGGCTCACCTGCCCCGTGCCCGGCGACCGGTATTTTAAAAATTTCTTGGGGTAAATAATACGAAATTAGATAAAAAACAACCAGTTTTTGAATTCCGAAACTAAAAAATATGTTTTGTTTATTTAAATGCATAAAAATTCCATTCAAAAGTAACTTTTGCTAAGTAAATTTACATATTCCTATTTACATTTTAGATAATGGAACAATAATATGTTTTAAGACAAATAAATGTTTTGAATTGCAACATAAAATTCGTGATTTAAATTTAGTATATTCATTGTTGATAATTAATGTCTCTGTTATAACCGTCTATTATCATTCAATAGTTATACGTTTTTTTTAAAATTCAGCCCATTCTTCAACTTAATGTCTTTTCAAGGGAAACTATCGCTTTCGTTTTAGTGACACTTTATCAGCTACACTAGAGGCATATTTGAGTAATATTTTTTCTGATTTTGTTAGTTAATATAAATTTATAAAAAACATAAAATAGTGAAAAGGTTTTAAGTCCTAAAAGTTAAAGTGTTTTATTGATTCGTATAAATTATTTGCTTTTTCTTATACTGTGCATTTCTCAATTAATAGAAAATATATTTTAAAAAAAAAGGGTGTGGGGGCTCACCTGCCCCGTGCCCGGCGACCGGTCGCGCTCCCCTGCCAAGCGTCTGGTGAGCTGGGGCTCACCTGCCCCGTGCCCGGCGACCGGTCGCGCTCCCCTGCCAAGCGTCTGGTGAGCTGGGGCTCACCTGCCCCGTGCCCGGCGACCGGTCGCGCTCCCCTGCCAAGCGTCTGGTGAGCTGGGGCTCACCTGCCCCGTGCCCGGCGACCGGTCGCGCTCCCCTGCCAAGCGTCTGGTGAGCTGGGGCTCACCTGCCCCGTGCCCGGCGACCGGTCGCGCTCCCCTGCCAAGCGTCTGGTGAGCTGGGGCTCACCTGCCCCGTGCCCGGCGACCGGTCGCGCTCCCCTGCCAAGCGTCTGGTGAGCTGGGGCTCACCTGCCCCGTGCCCGGCGACCGGTCGCGCTCCCCTGCCAAGCGTCTGGTGAGCTGGGGCTCACCTGCCCCGTGCCCGGCGACCGGTCGCGCTCCCCTGCCAAGCGTCTGGTGAGCTGGGGCTCACCTGCCCCGTGCCCGGCGACCGGTCGCGCTCCCCTGCCAAGCGTCTGGTGAGCTGGGGCTCACCTGCCCCGTGCCCGGCGACCGGTCGCGCTCCCCTGCCAAGCGTCTGGTGAGCTGGGGCTCACCTGCCCCGTGCCCGGCGACCGGTCGCGCTCCCCTGCCAAGCGTCTGGTGAGCTGGGGCTCACCTGCCCCGTGCCCGGCGACCGGTCGCGCTCCCCTGCCAAGCGTCTGGTGAGCTGGGGCTCACCTGCCCCGTGCCCGGCGACCGGTCGCGCTCCCCTGCCAAGCGTCTGGTGAGCTGGGGCTCACCTGCCCCGTGCCCGGCGACCGGTCGCGCTCCCCTGCCAAGCGTCTGGTGAGCTGGGGCTCACCTGCCCCGTGCCCGGCGACCGGTCGCGCTCCCCTGCCAAGCGTCTGGTGAGCTGGGGCTCACCTGCCCCGTGCCCGGCGACCGGTCGCGCTCCCCTGCCAAGCGTCTGGTGAGCTGGGGCTCACCTGCCCCGTGCCCGGCGACCGGTCGCGCTCCCCTGCCAAGCGTCTGGTGAGCTGGGGCTCACCTGCCCCGTGCCCGGCGACCGGTCGCGCTCCCCTGCCAAGCGTCTGGTGAGCTGGGGCTCACCTGCCCCGTGCCCGGCGACCGGTCGCGCTCCCCTGCCAAGCGTCTGGTGAGCTGGGGCTCACCTGCCCCGTGCCCGGCGACCGGTCGCGCTCCCCTGCCAAGCGTCTGGTGAGCTGGGGCTCACCTGCCCCGTGCCCGGCGACCGGTCGCGCTCCCCTGCCAAGCGTCTGGTGAGCTGGGGCTCACCTGCCCCGTGCCCGGCGACCGGTCGCGCTCCCCTGCCAAGCGTCTGGTGAGCTGGGGCTCACCTGCCCCGTGCCCGGCGACCGGTCGCGCTCCCCTGCCAAGCGTCTGGTGAGCTGGGGCTCACCTGCCCCGTGCCCGGCGACCGGTCGCGCTCCCCTGCCAAGCGTCTGGTGAGCTGGGGCTCACCTGCCCCGTGCCCGGCGACCGGTCGCGCTCCCCTGCCAAGCGTCTGGTGAGCTGGGGCTCACCTGCCCCGTGCCCGGCGACCGGTCGCGCTCCCCTGCCAAGCGTCTGGTGAGCTGGGGCTCACCTGCCCCGTGCCCGGCGACCGGTCGCGCTCCCCTGCCAAGCGTCTGGTGAGCTGGGGCTCACCTGCCCCGTGCCCGGCGACCGGTCGCGCTCCCCTGCCAAGCGTCTGGTGAGCTGGGGCTCACCTGCCCCGTGCCCGGCGACCGGTCGCGCTCCCCTGCCAAGCGTCTGGTGAGCTGGGGCTCACCTGCCCCGTGCCCGGCGACCGGTCGCGCTCCCCTGCCAAGCGTCTGGTGAGCTGGGGCTCACCTGCCCCGTGCCCGGCGACCGGTCGCGCTCCCCTGCCAAGCGTCTGGTGAGCTGGGGCTCACCTGCCCCGTGCCCGGCGACCGGTCGCGCTCCCCTGCCAAGCGTCTGGTGAGCTGGGGCTCACCTGCCCCGTGCCCGGCGACCGGTCGCGCTCCCCTGCCAAGCGTCTGGTGAGCTGGGGCTCACCTGCCCCGTGCCCGGCGACCGGTCGCGCTCCCCTGCCAAGCGTCTGGTGAGCTGGGGCTCACCTGCCCCGTGCCCGGCGACCGGTCGCGCTCCCCTGCCAAGCGTCTGGTGAGCTGGGGCTCACCTGCCCCGTGCCCGGCGACCGGTCGCGCTCCCCTGCCAAGCGTCTGGTGAGCTGGGGCTCACCTGCCCCGTGCCCGGCGACCGGTCGCGCTCCCCTGCCAAGCGTCTGGTGAGCTGGGGCTCACCTGCCCCGTGCCCGGCGACCGGTCGCGCTCCCCTGCCAAGCGTCTGGTGAGCTGGGGCTCACCTGCCCCGTGCCCGGCGACCGGTCGCGCTCCCCTGCCAAGACTATCTCCTTACAGCTATTTGCATTGGTTGATTTGTTGAGGAGAAGTTGCTAATTTCTTATGCTCAATAGTGCATTGTCGGTGCTTTTGAACACATTATTATAACATTTTGCATTGTGCAGACCTGGTCTAGATTGTCTAGCCATTCAATTTTTAGTAGTGGCAATAGAATTTTGGAAAAAATTTTAAGAGAAAAAAACCTTTTGAAAATAGTAAGAATTCTGAAATGTCTTATTTTGTAAACTTTTCAATTTGAAATTACGCCTGCAATTCAAGAAAGGGAGATAACATTGTAGAATTAAAAACGATACAATATTATCAAGGGTTTGCCGCCTTTAATTTATCAGTCGATATTTTGCTAACGTATGTAGTACTTGTTAAGGTGTTTGTAGTGTAAGTGTTTAGTTCTTGTAACTGTCGCATAGGAAGTGAAGAGGGTGCCTCCGCCACCCCCGGACGTCACTTATGATGGGGTGAATGACTTTCCCTTGTAGCCACTTTTAAACGTAAATGTTCTGTATTTGTTAGAGATATGTCCATTATAAACCTATCTTCTAAAACACCACATTGCTCTAACTCTAATACTATAGGTTTGGTATGTACGGAGTCGGCTCAAACTCTGACACTATAAATTTGTTAGTGCATAAATGTAGTAACTATTTGATATATATGCAGAAACTATTTGATATAGATGTAGTACCCATTTGATATAGATGCAGTAACCATTTCATATAGATGTAGTAACTATTTGATAGAGATGTAGTACCTATTTGATATAGATGCAGTAACCATTTGATATAAATGCAGTAACTAGTTGATATAGATGCGGTCACTGTTTGATATAGATGTAGTAAATTTTTGATATTGTTGTAGTAATTATTTGATAGATATATAGCAACTATTTGATATAGATATATTAACTATTTTATATAGATGCAGTAGCTATTTGATAGAGATGTAGAAACTATTTGATATAGATGTACTAACTATTTGATCTAGATGTAATAAATATTTGATATAGATGTACTAACTTTTTGATAGAGATGTAGTAACTATTTGATATAGATGTAGTAACTATTTGATATAAATGCAGTAACTATTTTATATAGATGTGTTAAATATTTTATATAGATGTAGTAACTATTTGATATAGATGTAGTTATTATTTGATAGAGATGCTGTAACTATTTAATATAGATGCTGTAACTATTTGATATAGATGATGTAACTATTTGATAGAGATGCAGTAACTAATTGATAGAGATGCAGTAACTATTTGAAAGAGATGAATTAGCTATTTGATATAGATGAGGTAACTATTTGATATAGATGTAGTAAATATTTGACATAGATGCAGTAACTATTTGATATAGATGCGGTAACTATTTGATATAGATGTAGTAACTATTTGATATAGATGCAATAACTATTTGATATAGATGTAATAATTATTTTATAGAGATGTAGTAACTATTTGATATAGATATAGTAACTATTTGATAGAGATGTATTAACTTTTTGATATAGATGCTGTAACTATTTGACATAAATGCAGTAATTATTTGATACAGATGTAGTAACTATTTGATATATATGATTGAAATATTTGATATAGATGCTGTAACTATTTGATACAGATGCAGTAACTACTAGCAAAATGTTTGTGTCATACATGTCTTATTTTTGTGTTAGCCTATACATTATACACAATTTGCTTTCCCTAACATGAAAAGTACTTATTGGTAGTGATGTCACATAGCATTCACTTTGTTAAACCTAAACTGTTTTTCTTTACTCTGGCTATAAGGAAATATTTATCCTATAAGGAAAGAAAAATTTTAAGTAGATAATGAAAATGTTGATAAATGGAATTTAAATTTGGGTAGGGGGGAGGGGGGGTAATCACGAACCGGATATAGGAATTGCAACATTGAATACAAGATGGCGGCGTCATTGTGGTGGGATGAACCAGAGACGTCAAAGAAAAATGATCAACAGAGCTCTAATGACGATTTATTGGTGTTTGGATACGCATGTAAATTATTTCGTGATGACGAAAAGGCTAAAGACATTGATAATGGCAAGCTTCTGATTCCATGGATGGGCGACGAGAGACTCATGATTGACAGGTCTGTGCTCCAGAAGTTCATCATTTGCAAAAAAGGTTTCGATTTCGTACTCATACGCGGTGATTATCTTTCGCGTAATGGCTTTTGTCTTTTTTTTCAGCTGAATTTTTTTACTGGACTCAAAGATGGTATCAACCAGAGTCTGTGGATGGCATAAAATCATTCCTCTTCAAATCTGGTTTAATTTTAGTCTAGTCTGGGACCAGACTAGACAAGACACTACTACTAGCGACTGTTCATGATCATGACATCAGACATGACTCATACTTTTACTTTTAGCGTAGTGACAGCCTTTGAAATATAATAAAACTATTAAAACTTAGCTTAATATATGTGAAAAAGGCAAGACTTCTTTCAACTATGTTTCTAGAGAACCAAGAACTTAAAAAACTCAAATGAATCAATTTCACATTGCCATTTCATGATTCATGATTTCAATCACTGAGAATCTGTGATTGATTTATTATACAAATTATTACTATTACTGCTTAATACTATTTGGTTTGCCTAATTTGTTAAAAAATATAAAAAATGACACAGAGTAGAGGCTGAATAAATAAATCTAACAGTATATTAAGGTTAGGCCCATTAGTTACTATTCTATAATAGACCATGCCATATAAAAAGACCTTGGGCCTTGGGCTTATCATTTAAGTCAAGTATAATGACAATCTTACTTCAAAATAAAATATTACCTTAGCCTCCCTATCATATTGCAATAGCCTCAATTATATAAATAATATAAATCTAACTTTATTAGGCCTAATGAGTAAAAGTAAATGGAATGAAGAATGTATGTCATTGTCACTTTGTGAGAAGTTGCATTAGTCTTAGTGACTCTGAATATACATACAAATGAGATCTCACAACAACTCCTTTTTAAAGATCATCTTATTCACTGCAATGAAAAGCTGTTAAAAAAAACGATGTATTCACATTAAAAATGAACGCAATTTAATTATAAGTCTAATATAATATGCCTACTACTGTTATAATATTATTACGGTAATGAAGAACTAATTATAATTATGACTTATAATTAATGAAAGTTAATTAGAAAATAGCTAAATATTAGCCAAGGAAATAATCATGGAATAATTTAACATAGTTTGAAAACACTATGTAAATTAGACTTTAATATGATTTTTTATTAAAGAGTAAGCATACATAAAATTATTCAATAAAAGATTAAAGACAACAACATTCTCAGTCAGAGATGAGCAGTCCTGTAGAAATTTTTAAATATCAACATTTTTATGATCTTCCTAGTTTATTTATTCCCTATTTAGCTTTAGACACACAATGAAATATTTAAACAAAATGTAATTGAAAATGTAGATTTTCTATTTAAAATTTACCAGTGCTTACCATAATATAAAATGGTCTTGTTGTATCATCACAACTTATACACACTTTCATGTTAACAGTGTCAAGGTCGCTTGAATGGTATTCGCTTTTGTTGTATTATTCTATTGAGTGCTACAGGATACAATTAAGTCATCTTGCAAATGTTGTTCGGTGATCAGAAAGAAACAACTTTCCTACATTTCATCATAGAAATCTAGCTAAAGTATTCTGATGATAGACAGTCTAAGTCAACAGCAAGTGTAAGATACACCTCATAAATAACAGGAGGAATTAAAGTGAAGATCAGCCTTGCTATATTTTCTCTGAAGCTGATGGAGAGTGCTGCATTTTCATCTGCCAAGTGTGTTAGAAAAAAATCCTTTGCCTGAATGAAACCACTCCTTCGAACACTAAATCACTGATTTTTTTTTTTTTTTTTTTTTTTTTTTTTTTTTTTTTTTTAAATTTAAATTATAAAAGAATCAGTTACAGGAATTTTGAACGTAAATATTTGGCTGTGTGGATTAGATGATGTTCTTTCAGGTGAATGTTGGAGATTGAACAAGATGATCTAGCATGTCAAGGATGGGTATGCTTTCAAAACAAAACCTAATTTTGATTATTTTTTATGTGTTGAAATTAAAATTATATATTTGATAAATACAGGTTTAAGCATTTGTAACAACTTTTAGGGCTTTGTTTACTTATAGTTTTGTTTATGTTTATGATTTAATGTTTTGGTGGATTCATTATTCTTTTTAAAATATTAATTTTCTTTCATGATTGTATTTCAGTTGCATGAGTGATTTTGATTTTATTATGTTTAGGGGTTTCAAATATCCAGAGGTTCATTTTAATAATTTTTGCTTGGCACAGATATGATGGCAGAGGGCATTTGTATGATCTTGCTACACATGACTCAGAGAATGTGGAGAATAAAAACCCAGTTTTTTCTGAGGAGGAAGAAGCGATTGAAAAGGCATGTGAAGATGAAAGATACCTAGAGCTTCATACAGATCTAAGAGAAGCTCAGATATATGAAGGTTGGGATTCCAGGGATGTTAAATACCTGCTTTTTTTATTTTTTATAAAAAAAATTATTTTGCACTTTATTATCTCACTTTGCATTCATTTTTACATTCTGCATGCATTAATTAATTGAAAAGTTTACACATAATAATCACTGCAATTACACTGAAACACCCAGTTATAGAAGTTACCATTTAAAGATGATATTGACAAAATGATTGCTCATTTACAATTAATAGTTTAATATCTCAAATTAATACTACCGAATTATACATACTTTTGAAATTATTATTTTTGTTTTATGAAAATAACTCTTTAGCAGTACTTGTGAAAATAATTAATTGATAAAAATTATTGAACATTAACATTACTATTACTTCATCATATGTGCATTAAGAGACACAAACTTTTTAACATGTTACTTTTTTCTCCCATCTAATTCCAGAAGAGGAATGGAAGCGATATTACTTATCCTTACAAGAGGGATATAAAGCTGTTGGTTTCAGTTATGATGAGCAGTATGGTGATGGTCAGGGAGATGATACATTAACAGGTAAGGTATGATAGGAAACATTAATTTGCCATGTGAATATTTGAACACCAGCTTTTTTATTTTCTATATTTCTTTAATAAAAGGTTGTGTAATGCAGTCAAATTTCCCTAAAAGCATTAAAATAATGAATGGAGCAATCACAATTTTGCTATAAAAATTTTAAAAAAAAACATTTAGAGGTATCATTATTTCAATGTATATGATTATTCAAAAAGTTAAAATTTATAATATTTTTTTCTCTTTTTCCAGAAACAATGAAAGAAGAAGATGACGAATTACCATTTGTGCCACCAGAAGAGCTTCAGTTACCGCCTGACTTGCAGATTGTAAGTGTTTAAATTAAATCTGGGAAGAAATCTTTGGGAAAACTTTAAAGAAGATTTTGAAAAAAATTACTCCATTAAAATGTTTTTTTAAATTTCTGTGATGTATATCTGTTATATTGTAATATATTGGTTGAATGTGATTTTATTAATTTTAATTAAAAAAGTATACTGTACATTACAGCTTATAAATAATATATACTTCTTTTCTAAATGGATAAAGTAACATTTTTTATTTTTAAAAAAAAAAATGCAATTTTTACAGGAACTTTAAGTTCTTCACAAATAATTACACTATTCAGAAAATATATGTCTTGATTCTTTTTGTTGTGGCCACCAACCAATTACCAATTATTTTTCTCTGTATGGGGAAGTTAAATGTTTCTTACATATTGCATCTTGTCACAGTGGTACACAGCATCTTGTAACATAGTAATGGTTGATGTTTAACTATTTGTATGATTTGTTGGGATTTTTTTTACTCATACTTTATGGAATGTAGCAAATTTTTTTCTGAATCTTCAGCCCAAATGCAGAAAGCACAATGCTCGCATTGAGAAAACAGCAAGCTTCATTGCACAACATGGCATTCAGATGGAAATCATGTTGAAAACTAAACAGGCAGGCAACTCACAGTTCGACTTCCTGCATTTTGAAAATGAGCTGAATCCTTACTATAAACATATGGTCAGCATGATCAAGTCTGGGAAGTACAAGCCATTGGATGATGAGGAGGAGGATACAAAGAAAGGTAAAGCTTTCTGCCAGTCAATGACAAGCATTATTTTCAAGACCATATCATTTTTTTAGTTACTTTTTTTTTTCATTTGAATTGAATGAGCTTTGTATTAGATGTTAACATTTTTGTGTGGCTGATTTTAAACTAATTTTCAGTTTTAAATAGGCATCCCCAAAGTTCATTTTCCAACTATCCCTCATATCATTGTCAGATTGACATGATATTTGTAAGATGGTAGGCAGCAGTTGCATGTTCATCACATCAGCTAGTTAATACATATTAGATTGGTTTCAAGTTATTTTAATATCTACACTAATGTATGACAGAAGTTTAAAAGATAATTGTATACTAATATTTCTCTTTCTGCTCTACAGATGATGATGACAGCCACAGCTATCTTCACCCTTCTTTGTCTTCAGCAACACAGTTACCACCCCCTCCTCCACCTGTGAGTATTATGACCCATATCTCAGAGGGAGCTAATTGCAACAATTAATAGATACATTACAATGTAGAACTAAAGGTATCTTGTTACAAATTAATTTTCTATTTTCAAACATCCACAGCCATCCAAGCCAATAGAACTACCAAAAGTTTCCATCCATGACACACCGTATGGTGCTCTCATTAAGTCTATTAGACAAAACACAGAGACGTAAGTTTGCATAAAATAATATAGAATTAAATTCTGTAGACAAGACAGCTGTACAGGGCGCTAGTCAGTTTTCCAATTTCACTTTTTGTTATTTTCTACTGTATTATTTTCCATTATTTTTTGGTTTTGTGTAAAGGCACCCTCACATTGCTTAATCTATATTCTACTTGGAAGTGAAAAGCCAAACATTACTCAATCTTTGTAGGAAGATGTGTAAATTGAGAAATTTATTGATATTGTGTTGCTTTATTTACGAAATTTCTTCTTTGAGTGTAAATTGATATCTGAAGCCCATTGTGTGACGGTAGCTAGATAAGACTGACCTATAATTTTTTATCCACAAATAAAAATGATGATGTCTATCTTTCATAGAATGCATAACTAAATATAAAATGCTGAATACAATGGCCAAATAATTATTTTCAGATCAAGGTTAGCGTCACTGAGCATGCAGAACCAGACAAATTACTCATCTCACAGCACAGACTACCAATCTTATCAGATGCCATTCTACGACAACCCACCTCCACCTGGAACAGAGCCTGTGACACTGCCCATTGTTAGCTCCCTCAATGGTCAAGCATTTGTTGACCAGCTTTACAGTCAGCCCCTTCCTCCTGGAACAGAGGACAATGATGGAGTTCCTTATCAACCCCAGGAACGGAGTAAAACAAGAAGACGTCGCTCTTCTAGTTCAGATAGCAGCTCATCAACTTCATCAAGTTCATCTTCAAGCAGTTCTCATTCATCCAGAAAGAAAAGGTACTGCATAAGAAATTTTAAATAATTGCATTATCAACCCATTTAAAAAAATGTTCAACCATATGCAGAGATAATTCTTTTAGTAAACATTTCGGTTGTAAATAATTAAGTGCCATTTTACAATATTTTTTTATAGAAAATCTTCAAAACACACTGAATCTAATCGTCCGATGAGAATTGAAGGTCCTAGCCTGATTGTCCCACCCCCACCAGAAGTGCAGCCTATTGTTGATCGTATGGCCATGTATGTTGCTAAGAATGGCACAGAATTTGAAATTGTAGTGATGAGCAGGAAAGATCCTCGATTCCAGTTTCTCAATGAGTACCATGCTCACTACCCCTATTACAAGTTGAAAAAAGAAAGATATATCCAGGTATGATATCATTTTCAGCTTTGAAACTCGGCCATGGCCTAACCTTTTCCTGTCAACTTCACAATCATAGAACAAGATAAGAATGTTTGTCTCTGTGTTTCTTTGCTGTTGAAGGCTTTTTGGCAGACTTCAGTCACTGTGGTCACCTTAGCCCACTAATCTTATTACATACCAATTTGTAACGGCAGTGAATTGTATAGTCTGTTTCAGATATATCTTCAACTCTAACAGTATCACTATTACTTTCTACATTGATTTCAATAAATTCTACATCTATCTGTTTCAATTGTTTCATCATCTAAGCTTTCTAATCTAGTAAATTTAGCAGCTTTTCGGGAATGAACTTGGATAGCCATGCTGAACTTTGAACTCCCTTAACTTTTTAATGAAAGAAGATTAAAACATATGGATTTCTTTTTTAAAAGAGATTTTCACTCGTGAGTACCGCAGTAATTTTTGCAGACGAATGTATGATTGTTTAGTTGTTAGGCGACTCGAAAGAGTGTCATATGTGATATCAGCACAACTTGTCTCTGCCCGGCTTAGTAGGCAGGCAGTGGTGGGAATTCGGAAAGCGATTCAGGCACTTAAGGTAGTAAAAGGTTAGTCATCACTTTTGCAAAAGAAGCAAATAGCCAATAAGTTGAAGCAAATAGCCAATAAGTTGAAGCAAATAGCAATTAAGTTAAAGCAAACAGCCAATAAGTTGAAGCAAATAGTGCCAGTTTCATGAAAAAAAATGGTACAAATTTGTTATGTAGCTATGATTTTTCCATTTAAAAATGTCAATACTTCATGTAAATGTTTCTAATAATGGCAATGGACATCTCGCATGATTAGAATTCACCACTGAGCAGATATTTAATATTAAATAAACACAAATGGTGAAAAGGGATACCTTTAATTTTCATCTTTATCCATCTTAGTTAATGTCTATTTACTCTCATCCTGTTGTATCCTCTAATCAGGAACTAGGAAAGCAGATCACTGAGACTGAAACGTTAGAGGACAAATCCAGTCAAAATCTTCAGCGCAGTGTCAGTTTTTCCATAAAACCTCGCCCCAAAGACCAGGAGGGCAGTCAGCAACCAGGGAAGCCTTGGCTCTTTGAGTATGACAGTAGTGAAGGTAATGAGATAATTATTTTTGAGATGAGGCTGACTTGTGTTTTCAGCCCCATATTAACCTTTTTGCTACGGATGATGTCGACGTGACGTCACTATCACCCACTTTCAATTACCAAGGACATCACATTGGTGTCATAACAAAGAGGCAAAAAAAACTTTTCTGAAATACCAAGGACGTCACGTGGACGTCATATTTCACTGCTGTATATTTCTTTATTAGTTAATCTATAGAGAAGTTAAAAAGCGAATCGGAAAGAGAATGAAAAATTATTTTAAAGTTTTTATTGCTGAGTCAGAAAAAATCTATGCCCAAAACCAGCGCTAATGGAAAGGTTAAGGCAGTCATGGATGTGGATTATCGAAAACTTTTAACTTATTAGAAATTATTCATTCTAATCTTTTAAAAACATTGCACTTGAAATGTTATTTTTTCTAACTTTTGACTTATTATTAATGTTAGTAAATCCCTGCTTCACTTTTATGTGTGGAAAATATTAAATTAAATTAATTTGACATTGTTTCATAACAGTGAACATTTGAATAAAATAAGAAAAGCTTTCAGTTTTACATATTTGTCATCAATGGCTTCCTGAAAAAAACATTTGGTTTAATTAATATATCTGTAAGGATTTGCCTTGAAAGGTTCTTAAAAACCTAAATATACTACATTCTGATAATAATTTTAATTTGGCTTTGTTTTGTGACCAGGTGAAGAAGAAAGACAACGAGAGCAAATGTCAGATAACCAGTCTGGGTCTGTTACCCCTACAGCTAAGGTCTGCCAAGATGAAGATTCACAAAAAGAGAGTGAGTACTAATGCCATTTGATCTAGATCTTTTGAGATTTCTGTTTTCTAAATGAAAGCGTATCTAGCTCTGGTGTTGGGTGTTCAATATCCTCTTTTAAAAGAACTGTTGTTTGTACCACTTGCAGAAGGAATGTTTTCAAGAACTGGATGAATGGCAAAAGTCCTTCAGAGTCATTCAATTTAGTGTTGTAATTCCAACTAATATATTTTAAAAAATCAGAAAAAGCTTGTTTTCTAATAATTTATTCAAGAAAATTTTTTTATGAGTTCTTCTAACAACTTTGTTTAGCTTTTAATAAATAATTAGACTTCAAAGTTTTACTTTTAACTTCAAGGATAAAATCATAAGCTTTGCTCCGGTTACCAGTTGAGCACCAAGTAAGTTTCTTAAAATTTCAATGTTTTAATAAAAATCTGACCTAATCAAAATTTAAGTTATCATCTAATGCTCCTTGCCGTTATCTGCAGTGGAAGAGAAACTGAAAGATAAATTAGCCAGTGCTGTGAAAGAGAGAATATCACAAACCCATAAGGAGAAACAGCTCCAGATGGAAAGGAAGAAAAAGGCAGCCATGTTCTTGAATCTTATCAAGTCATCCCAGCCACAAGTGCCGGCTGTTGCTGGTGATGACTCTGCCTCATTGTATGTGGGTGAGTCAATCTTTTTTAATTGGTGGTCAAGTTAAAACAAAATAGTCACACTGATGATCACCTGTCAGTACATCCCTGTTTCATTGTATTTTTCTTTTCTGTCAATTGAAGCAAGTCCTTTCATGTTTATTGAAATCGGTGCAGTGCAGAAGGAAAGTGGTGCCCGGGTGGACTTAGAGTCATTTCATATATGTAGTAACTATTTTATAGAATAGATTTAATGTTTATTTCATTATCAGGTGAGGCCCTACCAGAACCGGTTGTGTATGAGTATGATAACCAACCAGTCCCCCAGTTTCTTAGTTCAAAGACGGAAAGATCTAGATCATCTAAAGGGAAAAAGAGAAGAAGAAGATCACCAACCCCACCCAGCGCTTACAATTTGGAAAGGAGGTTAGTTATTTGGGATTGCATTTCCATGATGTAGTTGTAACCTACTTTGAGAAATCACATCGCTAAATAGGTTTTACTTAAAGCAAATTATTATTATTGTTACTCTGGAACTCAGTATTATTATTTAGTTTTAACACTGGAACACCTTGTCCATTTTGTTTATGTTGGTCTAAGTTACTACTGAAGTAATATGTTTAACTGTCTAATATTATGATTGGACTGATAAGTCTTATAGGCCTTGTTACTTTATGTGTTTGCATTATAAGAAATTATTATCTTTTTTATTTTATTACAGGTCTCCGACCCGCCCCAGTCCTTCAAGATGGATGGGGAGGCCTTCACCGTGGTCATCGATGAGAGACAGAACTCCACCTTGGCAACGAAGGAACCGTGATATTGCTGTGAGGCGGTCCAGGTCACGTTCACCCCACAGAAAAGATGACAAAAGGAAAAGGCGTAAACGATCTAAATCAAAGTAAAAATAAATATTTTTTTCTTTTTTGATTAAGTCACTGTGTGGGTCATATGAGATAAGCCTGTGCTTACTTTTGTATATTGTTGTTTTGTGTCTGGTAGTTTTAAATTTTTAATTTGATAAAAAACACACAAATTTAATGTTTAAACAAAAAAAAATTTAACAGAAAAACCCACAATTTACTTTATTTTTCCATGCAGGTCACCACTGAGAAGGGAGAAGAGCCGTGAACAATCTAGACATGTGAAGGATAAACCAAAGCACAAATCTAAAGATAAGGATAAAGACAACAAAAAGAAAGAAAAAACAAGACATAAAGACAGAAGTAAAGAGAGGGATACCAAATCTGAAACTGTGAAGTCTTCAGGCAAAGCAGCTGCCAGTGATGTAGAAAGTAACAGCAGTGATATTGAAGTGCTAGAGAAATCCCCCACACAGCCGAAGTCTTTCATTGAGGACCAACTGCCACTGAGCAATGGGAACAAAAGTGCCATAGTCTTTGATCCACTAGCCTCAAATGCAAGGGCTATCGAAAAATTAATGAGTATAAAAGCCTTGAGTAAGATGTAAGTGAAAAAATTGGGAAATTTCTTTTTTTACTTCAGTTGTGATCTTTTATTTTTTTTTTTTTTTTTTTTTTTTGTTTTTTTAAATGTATAACGCAAATAATAAATTAAACTTAGCTAATTATAAGAGGGTTTTGAAGCATTTCAACACTGGTAGCCACTAATGGTTATCACACAAATCAATAACTGGTGTACTGCAAGCTAAGAGTGCACCTGAAAGGATTTTTTTTTCTTTGATGGAGTGATTAATATGGTTGTAAACAAATTCACAATTTTAGATAGCTGCAATATCTTTTCCTGGTTTGTTTTATACTACTTTCACCCACTTCCATTTTATTTTTCCCTTCACAGTTGTTGGGACGTACTTTTACCCATTCTTTTTTTTAACTTTCCTTTTATTTAATATGAATATTAAATTTTAATTTAATTCAAGCTTATTTAATGTTTTGTTTTGTTTACTGACGAAGACATTATTTGAAATGTCATTTGTATTTTGTCCCTTTTATTAATAAAGCGTACATTTATTTAATAAAGCATAACACTAATAACAGTACTTTTTTTCATAATCAAATTGTTTGCCTCTTATTAATCAAATAACTACAAAAATGGTTGCATTGAAAAAAATTAACTGCTTCAGAATAAAGATATTCAACCTCAAAATAGAAATATTAGTTTCCCTTCAGTTTCCCTTCAAGCAATGGTGTTCCAAAAATAATTTTAAAAAAGGAGATTGCAACATTAATTAAAAATCTGCTTTTTTTTTCTGCATGTCTTCATTTCATTGTATGTGATTTAATTTACTTGGATAATTTCCTTAAAATAAAACTGTGACATATTTTTGTTCATTGTTAGCTCACTTCTTTTATTCTGTCCTTGTCAGAGAGAGTGCTGACGACATAGAGGGCTTAGCGAGTAGAACAACAAGCCAGGGTAACTCACCTGCTACCATGGCCAACAACTCCAGGAGCAGCACACCCAGCAGATCCTCCACAGACACATCAGCAGCCACATCTGTGGTAAGTTGTTTAGGATGTCCAGGGGGTGGTGGATGTATCATTGAAAGTTCTAAAATTGGCCTCATCATAGCTTTGTGATATATTTTATCATTTTAAATTGTTTTTAGAATATCTCCTTAAACTGTTCCAATTATAAAATAATCACGTTTTTGAAATGCTAGAAGCATTATTCTGTCAGAAAAAGTCAAGATATAGAAACTTGTATTGGTTAATTTTTATACATTCCGAGCCTTCAAATTTCTGTCATAGAAATTACAAAAGGGAAAGTACAATATGAGTTCAAAAATTCCTTATTGACGTTATTTAATCCATTTATTTATTAATTAATACTTCAGGACATCACAAAAATAAATGTCTTTGAATCTCTTTAGGCTTTGGGGTAGGTCTTTGGGATTGAATCTTTTTCTTTTTTATTCGATTACCACCCTTTCTCAAACAAATTGGTCTGTAATAATATGACCAAGCTTAGGGCCAAAATTGTCAATATCTGACTCTTAAGTGGCCATCACTGCTAGAGCTAATACTGACATTGCTATCACATGGAATATCTCTCAAATTATTGTTTCATTTAATCCATTTTAAATAATTCCAATAAAGTCTGTTTTAAGTTTTCAGCATGAGACATAGAATAAAAAATTGAGCAAATTTCACACCCGATTCACCACAAAACAAGGCCTGAAAAATGCATATTAACTTACAGATAGAAACAGAAGTAGGAAGCAAAATAATTTATATAGGAGATTTCCCCTAAAGCAGTATATATTAAATTATTTGATTTTTTAATGACGATTTGCTATTGGCTGAATTGGCTTTGACACCATAAAAAGGGGTATCAGCAGTTATGACGGTTATAGGGTTAGGTGAAGAGTAAAGATTCTTCTTATAAGAAGTTTCTTAACCTTATTACAATTAAATTCTAGATGCTTTTTACTTTATTAGAGAAGAATTTAAATGAGTTTTATTTTTCATCTCCAGGATCTGATGAGCAAAGTGAGGGCTATGTTAAAGAAAAGTAGAGAGTTGATTCGCAAAGAGGAAGGGTTTTCATTAGATGATACATAACGTATGCTCTTGATAAATATCAATAACACAATAGAACTCATTTAGGATTTCATGTAACAACAACGGGTTTAATGTTTTTGATCTGTATCTTAAGAAGTATTGTCCTATTGTAGTTCAGCCTGTGTTTAGAGCAGGTAAATTAGTGCTTTCCAGTTTAGCATTGAATGCTAGCAAAAGATTCGAACTTTGTTCTTAATAGGATTAGTAACTGGCGGTAAAGCGATACAGACAACAATTAGGAATAAGTAAATGCTTCTTATTTACACTGAATTGTCTTGAAAGGTCAACAAAGAGGGATTGATTGCTACTACTAATAAATAGAGAACTTAATCTAACATGTTTTTTTTTGAGTTCCATTGTGTTATTTTAAAATGAGTAAGAATGTGTTAAATGTTTGTATGGATATTAAATTAAATGACATGTTAAATGCATTAAATATTATTTTGATAGCCACAATAGATGTACATTTGAGCTATTATTTTTGTAAATAGGCGAGACTTTGTATTTTTAACATATTAGTGAAAGAGAAATAATTTTATTTTTATGCAGTATTGGCAAACACAATATATATATTAAACTATAGATCGGGTGGGGGGTGGGATATTCTACACTATTCCTGACCTGTAATCTGTAAGTGCATTTAAAATATATTTTTTTGCAAATTAAATTTCATAAACATTTTACTACATTTGAAAGTAGTCATTTCATCATTACTTTCTTTAACTTCTCCAGAGAAGTTTGCTAAACAAGGTTATTCCGAGTGGTGGGACAGTAAAAGTTAAAATATTATAATGTCCTTCAAATCTTTAGTTCATTCAAAAGAGCATCATAAAAATACAGCCACTAGGTGTTTTAAACAGACATTGTAAAATATTATAATTATACTTTTCTTTTAAAGAAGGCTTTTTTCATTAGGCTCATTGAATGTACATGCTTAACAAGGGATGTAAGAGATGGGTGGCCCACTTACATTTTATAAAGAGAAAACATAAGAATAAAAAAGAAAATATAGTTAAAATTTTTATGCTAGCCTTTTTTCAAGTCTGTTCAATTTTTTAGATGATGCTTAAAAATTTATGGACAAAATTTGGTCTAAAGAGAATTTCCAAGATTGCAATAGTGTACATTATTGTATGTTTTAGTTAACAATTTAACCCTGTATCAAAGAAGTGCAGGACGCTATGGCACTTTGCATTTTGTATATATTGGAACAGTTATTGTCATGATTATAAAAATATTTGTTATAAAACAAAAAATTACAGCAAGCAGTTGCAATGATTATTATTTAGTTTAAGTATTTCTCTTGTAACCTAATGTTTATGTTTTGAGCAATTAATTTGCTTGTAATAAACTATTGAATTATTTATGTGTATGTGTTTTGTTTCTTTTATTTCCTAAATGTTTTTCAGATTTTTTTGGCATCTATTTGAAACTTTAAGTACAGTCCAGAATTGTTAGCTTCTTTAAAAAGTTAAAATAACTGCACGAAATTAAAAGATTTATAAAAGCTTAATTTATTTTCAGAATTGTTTGTGTGGATATTGACTTTCAAACCATGACACACTTAAAGGAAAATAATTAATTTTTGGGAACAATTGTCACAAAAAAGATGGCAACACTAAAGACCTTTTTGGTTGTTTTGAAATCATTAGATTAAATCATTTACTGTCATTTTCAGACCTCATCTATTTTGGCTTATAGCAAAATATTGTACAATTCAATATGCAAGGAAAGAACATTGTTTTTTTTTAAATTGTCTCTTAATTTTTTAAATTTTAATTCAATAATATAACAATACAAGTTTTAAAAAAAATTGATTTAATTATATTTCTACAACTGGTACAAAATAAGAACACTTGCTCTTTAACTGAATCTTTTCAAGGCTATGTAACTTTCTGTAAGGTTTGTAAAGAAATTTATTGAAGAAAGCAAAGAAGAAGTATCTTGTCTTGAGGAAAATGGTGTTAGGCGTTTAAAGGGCCAGCCCTACAATTGCTGATGCCCCGGGCAAGATTCACTATAGTGCCCCTTTTAAATATAATTCTAAAAATGAAATTTGTGCAACAGGATTACGTAATATGTTATTACCTAGGCTTCTAATTTTTTATTTTAAAAAATGATGTAAAAATAAAATTGTTATCCTCAACTTGTATTTGGACAGGATGAACTATTGGCTTACCCTGGGCATTAAGAACAATTAGCCTACCACTTCCAATGACATTTTTTTCCTAGGCTTTAAATCTAGTAATCTAGGCTTATTTATGCACATTCCATTTTTCTTCCATGGCGCTCAGGTGCAATGATTTTGCCAAATTTGGAAGATCTTTGATAGCGCCCCGGGCAATTACCCGAGTTGTGGGTACCTTAAGCCGGCCCCGGGTGTTGAATACATGCAAATCAATATGTACAGATTATGTTTGTTTTAAGTTGAAAGGGAGAAAATATCTACACGTCTGCTGTTCTCTAATTTTGTAATTACTTCCCCTTAAGTTGGTTACACAATGGTGATTTCCCTTGCAACCTTGTAAACAACATGGCAGCGTTCGTGACTAGGTGCGTGAAGTTCGTGTTTCTTTTAGAAATGCATTTTTTCCCCATACAATTCTAAATTCTCTTTTATTAAAATGAAATAAGTAATATAGGTATCGGCTAATTATGTTATTATTACCCATGACGTCATTTGCATATTTATTTAAAATTTGTTCAAGAAAGTAGTCTGTTAACTGATTTACTATTAAAAACTTAATGATAACTTTTAATAAGTATAAGAAATTTGAGAAACGTATTAACATACATAAGCTACGTCTCACTGAGACCCCAAGTAAGGCTCAGTAAATAGTAAATTAACTTGGTAAAAGTGCAGTTCAGGTGCGTAGGCCTATGCCTATACTATATATTATATTTCAGGTCGAAATTCGTAACTTCTCATGTATTTTTTAAAGTAAAATGCCATATTTTGTTGGAATACATCAAAACCATATTTTGTTGGAATACAACAAAATTTTCACAAATTTTATGAGATAAAAACAGTACATTTTTATGGATCTTTTGTCTTTTACGGGGCCATTGTGGTAAATCAAAGATAACTCTTCTTTCTTAAAAGATACGTTATAAAAGTTTCCCAATTGGATGTATCTTGTTGCATTTATTTTATAACTTTACTATCAAATATAACCGGAGTTATAGGGAACTCTCATACTTGACATACGTAGCCAGTTTACAAGCCGCATTGCAATTATTAATTATTACATTCCTATTTGTTCTTCAAAGGGACGAGCCTTGCATGAAATTCCATAGTTTTATTAATGTTATTTTTTGCCTCACAAAGTGCGTGTATAACCAAATGCTGCATCATTTAAAATTTCTGTGGGATCAACAATTTGAATTATTTTTTCTTGGTCATTCTGCCGTTTTGAACAAAGTGATCCCACTACCAGCAATACCGCAAAATGAGTCCGTATTATTATATATAATCACTAGCCCATGCCCTCATTTTCATTTTACTTGGCACAAATCAGTCAACATAAGCACATTTTGAAAGCAAAAAAAGGGGAGAGGTGCACAAATTAGAGCTGACCAATCACGTACAACGTATTTGCAGCCATCAGTATGAGAGGACTGTCATTATCAAAAAATGACCCCACGCTATCATTCCGATTTCCCCCATTTCTACAACGTCGCAAATATTTTTTTTAAGAGTGGACACGTGATGACACATTGGCACAAATTTTGGCACACTGTTAAAAAATGTGTTCTTTGTTGCTAAAACCAAAGCACCACTTGAAAACACACAAGTAGCTTGGAAACACCTTTTTGAACTTAAAGCCGATTCTGACACTCAGTTTGGTATAAGTTGTTGTAATTTACAATGGTTCCCAACTTTTAATGGTTTCTAAAAGCATAATACTACGTAAACCCAATAAAATATCATGATGATTTTCTGTGTTGTAAGTCCACAATTTACAAAAAAATGACACGGTGCATATAGTGCATGATGTATTCTTGGACAGCATTTCCATGAGAAACCATCAGGTGACTCAGCACAACAGACTAAAGACATGAGACATTGGAAGCTATGAGACAATAGTCCGCAAGCCACTCTAACCAATGCATGCTCTCATGCATTGTGTCATATAGTGCGTTCGGCATGGTGTCATAAGTTTGCAGAATTTCCTGCCAAAACATTATTTGCAATATGAAACGGTGCTTGTGGTCTGTCAGCCATGGTATTGTTTATTTTATATTATTCAAGCAATTAGTCTGCAAGACAAGACAACTTCATTCATTCAGAATTGTGAACATAAACAATTACAACACCAATGATCGGGCCACCTGGCACTTTTTAAAGAAACATATACTGTTTGGAATTTGGGACAGATGTTCGGAAGCCTGCCTCAATTTTAACTACTTATAAACTAGCCAAGGCTAGATTCTTATATAGTCCTGTATTATACATATAATATAGAATAGTCTATCCATAGTAACACTATTTTACGAAAGGAAGTAGGAGTGACACTGAGGGGAAATCAAATTCAGTCAAAACTATCCATTTGTCAATAGTCAGTATTCACTGATAGTTTCTTAATTCATACTCATTGTCATGATGTATGCTACATTATGACTATGATTCTGATTAAAAAGGGCTGAAGGAGAACGATATTTGAAGGGAAAAGGGAGAAATGAAAGGTTGGTTGGGTTTTGCGGAAAGCTTTAATGAAAAAATCAAACAAGCATATGTGCAAGACTGAAATATAATGGGTACATTGTCATGTTACCTATATAGTAATTACATAATCATTTAGACACATTTGTAATGAAAGATAATTGTTTTTGAATTCTGAGAAATGGCAATACTTAAATTTATATAAAAGACTCTTGAATCCAATTTTTTTTCATGTACAATTTCGCTTGACTGTTTTCATGTTAAATTTTTTTTTTAAATACACAATTTTGATACAGAAATCTGCTTAGGAATCAACTTTTCCAGAGAGGTTGGGGATTAAAAGGGACTTCAAGCTGCTCTGTTGAAGGCTTTATAGTTTTGAACATCTCATCCTCTCGTACTGCTTTAAGATTTGTCTCATTTGAAAGAAAGTTTCCTGAAACATTGTTGAAATTGGGAAAGAATTGCAGAAAGGAACAAAAATGTTCAATATCAGGTAAGAATATTTAACAAACTAGTTTATGACAATATTTTACATTATTTTATCATACTTGCAAACATACATCAATGTCAAATCCTTTGCGATTAAAAACCTTCATATAAGTTAGAATGCTTGTCTTTGTAGTACATTAGTACCTGTACATATCTGATGTGAAAAGGGCATGCATTTCAGAAACAAAAAAATTTTTAATTACAAGTACAGATGATCCAACCAGACCACTTTTGCACACACAGTTTCTCTATAAAAAATCTAAAAGATATAACTTTCTTTGATCTCGTATCTACTAGTCACTGTATGGTAGCCACAAAATATTTTTGTTAGAAATGTATGTATTCTTCAATTTTAAAACAATGAGGTAATTAAAAAAGTGAGAACACAAAAGAAACTGCTTCCTTCCAGAGTTTTCCCATCATCCTTCTGAATAAATTTTCATAAATTACCGGTACAAAAACTTCAAGACTTGAACACTTTGTAAGTACAACTGAGCGTTTAATTTGCCTTAACTCAAACAGATAAAACATTGACCAAAAAGAGCAGCCTTTCAAAGCTAACAAAAGTCTCACTCGTTTCATCTGGAGTTGTTGCTCTTGGATATTATTTCATTCATGTTATCACATCTTCAGATGAGCCAGCAAAGCAATGGCAGGTGAGAGATCTTTTAAATATCTTTATATCATCTCTTTAATGAGTATTTAGCTTTTTTTGGTATCTTCTTCTGAATTTACATAAAGATTTTTTCAGATCGCAAAATTTTAAATGCTTACTGGAAAATTTATAATTACATTAGTTAAAAAAAAAGTTTCTAATTTTTTTATGTAAAGAAACTATTGTGAAAATCGTAATGCTGTTGGGTCAATTAGAAGTATCACCAAATATTTTGTTAAAATTGGTGTGTAGCATCAAAATTAGAGAAAAGGCAATGATGCTTATAAACGTTATTTAACTATATTGATTTCACCAGAGGAAGAAAAAAATTGAATTTCTCCTGTTGTTTCATAATTGACATTTCTGATAGACTAGCAACACACATAACAGGCATATGCTTTAGTTATCCACTTTTAAAGAATTTTTACTGTTAAGATCCTTTTTTTCAACCTCACCAATTACACGGCACTTATATGTTATATGTTATACAGCACAGTAGAGAAGTTCTGCACAAGTAATTTTAAACATAAATTGTATCTGGTAGGATTTTGTTT